TATATATATATATATATATATCTATAGATATATATATATATATATATATATATTTGTACGTATGTATATTAGGGTGCTAGGGGTTTACTATAACCCAGGCGCTGTTACTTTCTGGCGTAGGTGGGTTACGAGGTGGTTCGGTTCAGCTGTTATTATTATTGTTGTTGCTTATGTGTATAGTTCTGTTTTCCTCTCTCTGTTACTCTGATTAACGTATATATGTATATAACTTGTTTTTTAGGCGTTGTTCGACGATTGCTTTTGAGTTGCAGGTGCAGTTATTGCTGAAAGCAGTTGTTTTTATTGTTGTTGCTGCTGTTACTATTCTTTGTTATTGCTGATAACCTTTGTGCCATCAAAGAACTCTAGCTGTATGAAAGTTATCTCTTCTCTTCCTCTCTCCTTCTTTCGTATGTTTAATCTGCTCAGGTAGCAAAGGTGCGTTCTTTTCTTTTTGATTTCGTCCAATTGTTGCTTTGGATAAATATTACTGTAGCACTAGCCTCTATCGTTGCTTCTTCTGCGAAGCTGACTACGACAACAACTTCCGTTTTACTACAGAAAATTCTTCTGCTATCTGCGGTTGGCGTTGCTGTTGCTGTGCAACAATGTTTGCAGAGTACTCAGTGTGCGTATGTGTTTGTTTGTATGCACTGTGGAATGTAAGAGAACAATAGTTGTGTTTTAAAATAAATTGCAGTATTAATTCGTTTTGTTTTTTTTTTTTAGTATATGGTATGCTAGTGCTTGCTTTTCGGAATGTACTGCACACTTCATTCGTTTCGTTTCATTCCTTTTTTATAATGAACCCGAAATGTTCTCCTCGCTCACTCAGTGAAATTACCCTCAACATTTTAATGATTCATTTTCAGAGTTGTCGAGCGGCTATGATGGAGACTGTTAAGCCCCTAGCAATTCGCACACTTGTAGCATGCAAATCAATTTTCGTTTTTGTTCAATAAAAAAAAAACACCTTTAATATATACAGCACAATATTGAGAACTGCACACAGAACATGCTCCATAAATTATTTTATTGGAGCACACACACACTTTTTTAATGGGACAGGGGAGGAAACGGCAATCACCCGCATGTCAGGCACACGGCAACTCTACTCGGGAGTTTTACCTTGTTAGCGCTGCGCACAAAGAAGCTCTGCGTTGCTGTCTATGCAGATTTCACACGATTTCCGATTTATTACACCGATATGTGTATGCGCGTGTAAGATACTGTGCTACTACTCGGGAAACGTGCAACTTTTTTTTATTGATAGCGATTTTAATTATAAGGCAAACAGATAACTCTTTTTCGGCTTAGCGCTTCTGCTAGCTTGCTCGCTCGCACGCTTGTAAGTGATTCATTTTAGACGTTGCCATTCTCCGCGGCACACGGGACGAGTGGCAGCACTAACCGATAAATTTATCTAAAAATGGCAACATTGACGACTTTTTTTGTTTCAAACTTGATTTTATATCTAAGCATGTATATTAAAGTTTAAAGAAAATTTGGTTTATTTTATTCAATTAAGCTATTCCATAAGTTTCACAAGTTGATAAAAGTAATCAAAATAATAGGTATCAGCTTATGGGGCTTTATAAGCTTAGCTTTTATTTACAACAAATAATAAAACTAAAATTTTGTATTGAATGAAATAAATAGGAAGCACTCAGCGAATTTTAGTAACCATTCCAGCAGCTATCGTAACGCCTGCAACGCGCAACATAACGCGTCCAAGTTCTTTATAATCGGAATATCTTTCAATACAAATCGCACGCGAGGTCTCCAATTCGACCAGAGCACACGAATTCTGTCCGAGACAACGAGGCTTCTTCTTGACCACTTCGCCGGTACTTTTGTGAATGGATGCCGTCAGCTTGCAGACAACAGCCGGCTCGATCAGTGATTGATGATGGAGCAGCACCGGATATCCCATTGTAATGGGCACTTTGACATTGAATACGATTATACGACATTGAAATCGGGTGGTCACAGGTATTGGCATTTGTGGATCACATATAATACAGCCCACGGTAATGTTGCTCATATCAACGCCGCCTAGCGTTACGGAGATCTGATCGCCGGCAAAGGCACTGGTCTGAGTTAGGTCATCGATACTCAGGGATTTGACCTGTGCCTGCTCTCGGCTAGCACCTACGAGCACTTTATCGTTGACACAGAGTGCACCTGTCTCAATGCGACCCGAAATACAAAAACCAGATCCTGTACCTTTATATATATCCGTTACGGACATCCTAAATGGCCGATCAACCGCGCGTTCGGGTACCTTAAAGTGTTCAATAACATCCAGAAGATGCGGTCCATCGTACCACGCTTTTAGCCCTGGCTCTTGAGCAGTTTTTGTGAGATTTTCGCCCGTTAAACCAGAACAAGGTGTAAAACTGACATCAGATTCCTTGAACCCAGCTTGTTTTAGAAAGGATTTTAGTTTATGAACGATCTCTAGAAAACGCTCCTTGGACCAGCCCACTGTATCTAACTTATTGATTACCACGCCCAGCTGATTAACACCCAATGAGCGAACAAGTATAGCATGCTCCCGGGTCTGTCCGCCCAATTCAAATCCAGATTCAAATTCACCACGTGTCGCATCAACAACAAGCAGCGCCACATCCGCTTGCGTTGCTCCTGATATCATGTTGGGTATAAAATCTTTGTGCCCAGGCGCATCCAGTAGCGTCACAATTTTTGTTTTTGTCTCTATGCGTGACTGGCCCACATCCATAGTTATGCCACGGGCACGTTCTTCGCCTGTTTCGTCTAGTACCCAGGCGTACATGAAGCTCTGCTTACCCAGTTTCTTTGACTCCTGCTCGTGTTTGTGCATTAATCTCTGTGAAACGTTGCCCGTGTCGTAAAGTAAGTGGCCCATCAGAGTGCTTTTGCCTGCGTCAACGTGTCCAATAACAATCATATGTATTTGACTTTTTTGCGAGGAGCGCTCCTGCTCGTACAACTGCTGTATATTGCGCTGTGCCTGATCCTTGGAAACTTTGAATATGGCATTAGTATTGCGTCCTGCCTCGTCACCTCCTTCGGTAGGCGTATTCCGCCCAGATAAATTTGGTGACGCTGGCGCTTTAGGTGAGGCGATGTCAAAACCACGTCTGGTTTCCTTCACTGTAGAGAGCGTAATCTTCGTGGGCGTAGGCTTAGACGTGGTTACAGTTTTTGCAGCTGGCGTCGTATTCAGTTTAAACTTTTCCGAACGTTTGCCCTTGTCTTTTTTGTTTGTTTCCTCGTTTAGTATTTCATCGAGTATTTTCTGTATGTCGTAGTCGAAACGCATAGAAGTCTCAACAATGCGGCGTTCAGAGACCGCATCGCCCACCACACTTCTCACTTCATCCACACAGGAACTCAGCTTCGCCTGCGCTGTATCATCCAGTTCCGGCATTTGAAAATTTTCAGAATCTCTGCGAGATTTTTGATACACCTCATCCTCCTCGTCGTCGTCATCTTCGTTATCCTCTGCTTCCTCCTGAATATTCTTGTTCTTATTTATAAAAGCTGACATACTGTGTTGTCCACGAGTCCGGTCAAAAAGCCACTGCTGATCCGTGGGCGAAACGCAATCGTCGTCAACAGAATGGCCATAGACGTCATCGTAACCATCGTACTCGTCGTTGTAGTCCATTCCGCGCACAATTCTGTGTCGTGACATCTTGAACTTTGTTTACAAAATTCAGTTAAATTTCACAATTATTGAAAAAGAAAGTAAAGTAGAATTTCGTTGAATTGCAGAACTTTAAGCACTGGAGTGGCACTGCCTAATGTAATGGAGCTACCATATTTTTTTTAGTAAGCTATCTGGCAGCACAAATTTAAGTTCTGTAGCAAGATATCTAGTAACAGTAAAGCAATTGTTACTTGTGTTTCACTGTGAATGGATTATATTTGTATTATTATTTTTTATAAAACATATGGATACTATATCTAAGTATATTTACATGACGTTTGGATTGGACTGAGTAACAGTATCGACTTAACGTTGCGCTGCTCGTGATTACGTGACTGATATATTTAGCGATACTTCTGTTATTCCATGTTTTGCGCATCACTAGACTAACCACTTTTCTCCTCCCTAAACATTATCTTTTGTGTCTCGAAAATATTAAGAAAAACACTGAAAACTGTTGCGAAGTAACCAAAAATAAAAAATTTAATAACTCGCGCTTCACTGTGCCGAAAAATGCAGTCGACGCAGTAGTAAGTGCTCGTTCTTCGAGTTTTCAGTTAATTGTGAACAAATCGAAGACCTAATTATATTTATGTACAATAACAACAAAGACTAAAGAAAACAACAGCAGCAAGTAGAAACAGTATGTACAACAACGGTGCGCGGGGCTTCTCCATACATGACGCATTCGAGGAAGAGGAAGAGGAGGCGATACGTGTTTATGGCTCCACAGTGATATCTACGCCAATGCGCGGCGGCATTAGTGGCAGTGCTAAACAAGGTCGCTCCACCGAAGATGTATCCATACGCATACAGGATCCAAAGTAAGTACGAAACGAGTTCCCCCCGCCGCTGCAACTGGTAATAATGGGACTGATTTTAGTTCTGAGTGGGTAGCAGTTACTTGACAGTTGTTAAAGCCATTTGCCAATGTCGTTCCAAACACCCTTTACAATAAGTAATCTTTCATCTTGTATATGCATATGTATGTAGACAATTTAAAATTTAAAAACTTTTTATTGGACACTGTACAGGAAAAGATCTGTTGACTCTTTGTATATTCTATGTACACAAATCCTTCTATGTAAGCACGACGATTTTCTAGGTAACTTTTCGTAGTTTACTTTTGACACTCTATCACTTCGCAAGCAGTTGGAACTGAAATTTTTATTATTGCTGACAAAGAATCACTTTAAAGTACGGATTTATATTACCATACAATCATCAAAATTATATAACATAATTTTATGTTTTTAAGCACCTGTTTTCCAAAGACTACAAAGCTTCTACCGTTGCCTCTTAAGGATGTCACATGCTACTTTCCGCTTTCTTGTCGGAAGCACTCGCAGTTTTCAATAACATTTCAAGATATATGTGTGTGTAACTATGGGTGTACGCTAAATAAAGCGCATGCGTGCTTCATTCATATAACTAATATTTACAATTTGTTGCTGCTCTTCTATAGCCACTTTTGCATTAGTCGTCCATTATGTATGCGCCGCGTTTTAAGGCAAGTAGCTTAAACCGTTCTTAATTATGGAGATTATGGCAGACAATATTAATGATGATAATGACAATTGTAAAATTCATTTTTGAATTTATCTTGAATTTTTTTATTTTATGCACGACATCCTACACCAAGATTTTAGTCTGGCCTTCGGTCGCGGTCGAAGCAACGAGCTGCACTTGTTCGATTTCATTGCTGTTGAGTAACATTAATATACATATGCACAGTTTTATTATCAGTACAGTGAAACCACCACTTGAAGGATGAACGGTTATCTGTGACGAAAATGAATGATTTCGAGCACCTTAAAGGCATTTGTCCTCTTTTTTTACGAACACGGCCAAAAATATGTATGAATGCAAAATAATGGCTCATAAGCGGGTAGAATATGACACAATGCAGAAAATGACTAACCTGAGCTTCTACTGTACATAAATGCATATCCAAATATGCAATATCAGACTTTTTGTAGGCTCTCTAAGATGCAAAATAAATTTAAACTCGATTTATCCTTTTTATTTGCTTTGGTCCTCAATTTTCAGGGGCTACAAGTATGCCGAAGACACAACGTCGCGTGACAGTGATTCCCTAATACAGGAATATGGCAATCTGCCCACAGAAGAAACGAACACATACTGCTGGCGGCATCCAAAGGTGCGCGAAAATTGGCGAACTGTCCTAGCTGCCTTTACGTTGCTCGTTGTGGGCACTGGGTTATTTGTAATGGGCACCTTTGCCATCGCTGATCCACACAATACATCACAGGGTGTTGTATTTTTTGTTGCTGGACTCATTTGCTTTATACCAGGCGCATATCATGTTGTCTACATATGGCTGGCGGCTAAAGGATATCGAGGGTTTGATTTTTATCACTTACCCTTGTTTACATAGAGTCAGTCAGAATGTAATGAATAAATTTATGTTGCATTGGTTGATCCAATTTGAATCGGCAAAGAGGCACCGGACACCCTTCTACATATGTATAAACAATTTATTTTATATTTGTGTAATTAACTCAATATGTCATATATTTTATGTATGTTCTCAACAACTTGCAATAGATAAACTCAAACCTAAAAAAAAAAACGCGAAAAAATCCCAAAATCGAATCGTAGCCTTAATTACAAAAAATATTTTGTTATACTCAAAATAAAAATGTTTGGTATACCCTCAAAGTGTAAAAGATACGTATAAAAACACTAATACACACAGACCCATTAGAAACTTATTTAAAATAACCTCAAAAACGAAAGACTTTGTATGTTGAGCCCGAGTTAGTGTTAACAAACTATGTAAGCTGTAATTTACTAAAATTGAATTGCACAAAAGAAAATAATTGCAAAGTAAATCGTTGCGCTAACGATCTAACGGTAAATGATTTTTCAAACACGAATCTATATATTATTATATATACTATTATATATATATTATAAAGTAAGTTACATTATATATATATATATATATATATAATGTAACTTACTTTGTATAATCATTCAGAGAGTACAGTGCATTGGTCATTTAACTAAAAACTGTCCTCAGAATTAAAAAAAAAAAAATAAAATCAAACAAACCTTTAAACCAAAAGAAATTTATTAGTAATGTAAGTGAGCAGCAATATATATAAGCTATACAGTTAATGCATCAATCTTCTAACCTAAACCAATTCTACCCGTCCTTTAATGAAATTATATACATAACTTACTAACAAAAACACACACTCATCAGACATCACATAATAGTGAGACAAACGTTTTTTTTTTTTTTTATAAATTTCTTATTACATTTCGCCGTTTACTTTTTAATGCTCTAATTTTTAAGTATGTTAAATACGGTTGTAAAAAAACTGAAAAATTTTATATATAAAAAGAATTATTCTTTTCAATTATATACGAAATTTTTACGTTTACTATAAGAGTAAGCAAATTTGTTTGATTTTTTTTTCAAATATTGTTGGGTTTTAATTATAATGCATATTAAAATATATTTCTAATTTTTTTTTAAATTTTATAATTTGTTTTATTTTCTGTTGAGAAAGTTATCTATTGTATTCATTCCTGCTTTATTTCTGTATTAGGGAGTATGAAGTACGTTTAATGCTTTTTTGAATACCCTAATACTATAGCTATATTTTATAGACCTGACAAAACTTTATGCTTAACAAAATTTTCTCAATTTATTTAGTTCGCATTTGAAAACTTTTTAATTAACAAGATAAAGATCAAGATCTTTAAAAGCGTTTTCATTTTTGTATTGGCCTTTTGCGTTTATCTTAACTACATGTGATAATTTGTGGGCGTGAGTGTGCGTGAATAGATATTTTATTTATATTATTTATCATTTTGTGGCCATCTTTGTTGAGTTTATGAATTTTAATTTCATACATACATAAATACATACATAAATGTTGTGGATAATACTACAGTAAACTGTGTTGTATAGTTTTTTTTTGTTTTTTTTTTTGTATAGATTTAGTTAGTAGCAGTTGAAAAGAATAATGACAAATCAAATACATTGGCTCGTATATGTTGCTCAATATACTGCAAGAAAATCAGATAAGTCAGGTGTATTTTTGTAGTTTATGTTTTATATTAGAGGTTGCTCGACTTTGAATTTGACTTTAATGATTAACTATTAGGCTTTAAATGTGGTTAACTAAGTAAACCCTAATGAAATAAAGTGCATGATATTACCAGTCAGACGAATCTGTTATTATGATACCTTGTCCTTCATTAATTATGCGTGAAGGGTATATTAGAAGTGAAATAATTTGAAGCTAATCAATAAAAATATCTATAATTCATATGGTACTACCACTAGTAAATGGATATTCAAAATATCTTAGACTCGATGTTCAGATTAAGTGCTACATCTGGATGTCCTCTTAAAGAGTATATCACCATCTAACATCTGGTAACTCAATATGATTTAGGAAGTCTTAAGGATTGCTTATTTCATATATTTCAACCTGGTTCCGAACAAGCATATATGTATGTAATTTTTAGCTTCATTCAGCAAGTGACATTATGTGGCCTGTTCTAGAGTATTGCCAGTTGAGTAAACCTAGGGTTCCACCAAGACAAGTTTTCACCAGGTATCGACCAAACAGCGCTAGCCGCCGCTATAATAAGCTGGTCTAGTCGGGGCCTGGCAACAGCAATAGAGATATTCATAAACATATCCTCAGCAGGAGGTGTAGACAAGGTATCTAGTGTTTTACGTCTTAATGGGTTCTTGGCTCATATTCTGCATGTAAAAGCGTTGAATAGCACGAAATGGAAAATTTTAGCGTCTTAAGCACATAAATCTAAACTAAAAATAATCCACGCAATCGACTTGCGAAAATTCATATCGAATGCAGCCAGAGATGTATGATCCGGAGGCAGAGTCGGATGACGATTGCGACGTTTACTGTAAGTAGCAAAACAGTCGACTTAATTCGTAAAACAGAGTTGAGTTGAGCACTAATAATGCCGCTTATGTTGGATTATTATGCAGTCCTGAAGCCGGTGAACGAGTATAACATTGTGGACAAGATTAAGGAGGCCAACAAGCAGCTGTTTGCGCTGTACGAAGATGATAATGTCGGTCAGCTAAGTGGCAACATTGTCAGCAACCGTAAGGTAACCTTTGCAGTTAATCTAGAAAATTACGAACCCGTACAGCAACAGTCAAACCAGGAAGGACAGTTTAGTCCGCCCTCTGAGCTGTTGCGGCAGTTGGCGCAGCTGAAGCTTCAAACCGAACATGAGCGTTTTGCGCCGATTGAGGAGGAGCCAAAAAGGGAACTAGCGAAGGTGGATATGCAGCAGGATTCAGCGAAGCCAGATTTGGAGGAGGAAATATGCGAGGAAATTTTAGATCTTACTGAAGTAGAAAACATCCACAGTCAAAGTAAACAATTTGCATCAGCTGCTCTGCCTGCCAGCATGGACTACGAGGACGATGACTTCCCAGGCGTGGATGAGAATGATTTGACGGCTGCTACCGAGACGCTTGCAACAGACACACAAAAACTCCGCGTAACACGTCAGAACACATTCGATTTGAATAATGAACATATGGAAGAGGAGTCGGATCAGAGGAGTTTAACCAATTTACTAACTGAGTCTGATTGCGAGGAAGATGAGCGCGTTGTGAACGAGGCGCGCATCAAGCTACGACAAGCATACAAAAGTTTGTATAAGACACTAGATGTTCGAGGGCAGGATCAGATTAGTCGTCTAACTGGAACCGACAATATACATGAGGATGTAGAAGATGATGACCTCTCCGTTATTGTGGCCAGTTATATACCCGAAGATTTTGAGCTGGACGAACACAGCGTCTATTACAAAAAAGAAGACGGCGCAGAGCAAAACTCGAGCACCCGTACAAACACCAAGACATTCTTTAATGCCCGCCGCTTTAGTTTTCGCCGTCGCTCCAGAGCCACACCGATAGCAACATCTACAGTTGCAAACGTGCCGGATATTAAGATGAACTATAAGATTTGTTGTGAGCATCGTCATGCACTGCAGAAAGAGAAGCTACCTCGTTACACAGGCTATATGTCCGAGTATGGGCTTAGTGAAAGGCAGCTGCAGCAACGTGAGCAACAGCTGCGACGAAAGCAACGCTTTGCCATGGAACAGACGCTGAATCGAAACGAACATGAGCTTAAGAAAATGCAAGATAATGAGCGCGCGTTCACAACATGGCTCAAGAACAAAATGCGCTATCCCATTAATAAGACACGAAACATGTTTGATGCAACTCGCAGACGAGGAACTGTAGCAGCTGCGACCAGTCCAAATACCCTCCCAAAACGAGAGCCAGAGCAGGAGCTACGCTTGAGTCGCAGAAGTGACAGTCATGAGGTGCATGCTTATCGTCATCTCTTGGGAAGCTGGAACAAATAACGCTACGATATAGACAAATCCATATACGCATTATAATTATTTAATTTGTATTACAATTTTTATAAATGATGCAATAGACGCAGAAGAGAAGTTTGCGGTGAAATAAGTTAACAATTAAATACAGTAAGGTGTATAAAACGGACACAGTATATTGGAAAAGAATGTGAGGGGAGTGGCAGGTGTCTCCAAATATGTATAAAATGTATTTGTTTTGGGCTGTTTTGAGTGCTTGTGTCTAGTGTGTAATTGTATATGTGAGTAGTTCCTGTTTATCTCAACTACTGCCGATGGTGTGTTAAGTTAACGTCGTGATTTCTTCGATTTGTGGCCATTGTCTCGACTGTCCTCACGAGAACGTTTGCGATCCTTATCCTTGCTGCTATTTTTATGCCCCGACGATGAGGAGGAATGATGTTTGTCCCGATTATGATATTTATCCTTAGACGATTTCGATGGGCTTTGAAAAGAGAGTAATCAAATTATTTACAAGTTAAATCGATTGATTTCGGTAGTTGAGCAGACTGCATGAGGTAAAATTTTGAATAGAGTTTTGCATAGTTCATAAAGTAGATTTTTTATTGTGTGAAGAAAAGCAATTGTATTGCGCGATCTACCTAAAAGAATCAAACTTGGCCCCTAATTAAAGAACGGCGCTTTAAAGAAGGTTCATAAATTCCTATTTATTATCCAAAAACAATATTTTCTATTAACAGGAAGTAATATGCATATATACACCCTTGGAAGCTTCGAATATTTAATAGGTAATACTTATATTTGTATTTAATAACTTCTTTAAATATATGATTGCTATTGTCTAATTAATCATATCACACGATTATATCTTATAGTTTTGAAACCAATTTTCGTCTAAGATAAAGAAAATTTCAAGATTTTTTCCTCCAATTTTTTATTTCTAATCTAACCATATGCATTTACCACTAATAGTCTCTACATCTATCTTCAAAATACATTATATAAAAAACATAAGAAGCCAATCGTATTTAGAAAGTTGTCAGAAACCCCTTTTAGTTGGTTTAAGCTTAAACAGCTATAAACATGAAATATACTCTGAACTACTTCATAAATTGAAAAAAAAAAAAATAATAATTAAATTTGAAGCCAATTGCGTATGATCTTTGTTAGATCGAATAATTAAATTGAAGAGTGTTTTAAAAATGTTGTGCGTAAAATGTATGTGTATGTAAATGCGTGTGGCGTGCGTGTGTGAATACGTTAACAAACCTAGATGAGCTGCCATGTTTGGAGCTGGAGGATTTTAAATGTGAGGAGGAATTCGACTTATGCTTTTTACTGTTCGACGATCGCTGCTCCTCGCGCTCGCGACGACTGGTTTTGCATGAACAAGTATAGTATTTAAACAAATTAGAGAAGAGAGAGGATTTAAAAAAAAATAGTATATATATGAAAATTTGATGTTCTTGGAGCTGAGCTTACCTGTGCTTCGAGCTTTTGCCATGTTTCTTTGCATCGAATTTTCCGTTCCTTTTATCATCGGTGTTGTAATCATTGTTGCGATCTTCTTCTGCGGCCTCACGCTCCAAGTCTGACCAATCCTTACCAGATTCTTCATCGGAGCCCAGCTCTGCAATTTGAGTATATGTAAATGAAATTCAATAAGTCACTTAATTAATATACCATCACTATCATCGCTTTCATCCTCTGAGGCTTCCGAGTACTCGGAATCATCTTCATCGGTTTCATCGTCCGATTCAGCGTCTGTTGGATTATACGCTTCATCCTCTTCTGATTCAGCTGATTCGTTTTCATCCTCGCTGCCTGATTCGGGATCCAGAAATGTCCAGCCTCCTTGTTCGAAAAATCCTTCAGGATCATCTGTAATGGTCTTCATAATCTTCTGCCAGTTGAGCGATTGCACGCCTTCCGAGTACCGTATGTCGCAAGAGCTATAAGTACAATAGGTGGGGTAAAAGATTTGTAAAGTAAACTTAGGCATTACTTACTTCAACCATTCCTTGACGTGATCTAGCATATTCATAGGTATTGCATTCACCATGGCTACCTTTTTGTTATACTCCTTGAACACAAAGATCATGTCAAAGTTACGTAAATGGAACTGAACGCGCTCAAAATGCACCAGCTCCACATCGTCCAAAGTGATTACAAATGGTGGCCATTCAGTAAGATTAACCAGCGACCCAGATGTTGGCTGCAGTGTAACAGTGCTGCGGAAAGGCGCACCAGGGAAACCCAATTCACGGAACGGCGTATCGAATTCGACTTGTGCCTTGGTCATCGCCTCAACCTTTTCGCAAAAGCTCTTGAACGCTGTTTTCAGCTTGTGACGGAGCTCACGTTCGGCTTGTTCGGCAGCCAAATCGTCACGATCGTGCATATGTTGATGCTTTCCCAAATCTGTGGTAATTTCTCCAACCTCCGTATAAAACTGTACATCCACATGTTTTTTTTTGCCAAACATAATTGCATATTTCAAATGAAAATGAAGCAGTATAATCATTTCACCATCGCAAGGCTGAAAAAAGGCGCTCTTTATGTTATTGTAGAGAATGTCCACCTTATCACCGCGCACGGAGATGTAGCGAAATCCATTAGTATGTGCCTCTAAGCTGCCCGTCATACGCTTCGTTACAATATTGGGTCGAATGTACAAGTCCTTTAACTTAGGATTGCCCTTGTTTTGTGACAAAATAAGTGTATCTTGTTTAACCAAATCCTCTTTTTCACGCTCCTCAGCCTCCCGAGTTTTAAAACGTTTCTGCACTTCCTTAATCAAACGGAATGCGTTGTTCAGATTGGCAGATGGAGCTGCTACTTCTCCATGCTCTTTCACGTTTGAGCTGCGATAGGTGCTACAATTGAAAATACAATGTATATAATTAACTGATGCACAAAGAGAGTACGTTTTCTACATACACTTCCTTGACAAAGGTCGCCTCTGGTTGTGGATAGAGTCCGCCTTCGTTACGTCCCATTGTGGCGCCAGGATGGAAAAAATTTATTCGCAGATACGTATACTCACCCTCCACAGACTGAGATATATTCTTGATTGTGGATATATGAAAAGGCACCTGAATGCCAAACACTGGCATTATGACTGTCTCATATTTTTTGTCCACATACAATTTTAGCTCCTTAACTTCGGGTTCACGAGGTATTTGGCTCATGGACTTGTAGGATACTGTGTTCTTGCGCACTTTCTCCACTTCTTTGGAATTGCCCTGCTTGGCTAAACGTTCCCGTGCGCGTTCGTTGAGCTGCTGAGCTAGTTCACGTTGGTGTTCCTTGCGCTTCTCCTCGGTGTTGATCTCATTTCGTAGCTTGGACTCGAGCACAGCATTGCGCTTGCTGCGACCTAATATTTCGGTACCCTGATCTGCCTTAGCGGCCTTCTTATCATCCGTATCTTCCTCTTCGTCGTCATCATCCTTTATGAAAATGCCCACATTCTTGATTTTTTTTTTTGAGGGGGTCATTACACTGGCTGGACCCTGATCTCCCACTAGCACAGTGTCACCTATGAACAACGCATAGGTTTTTCCTTCCTTATCGGTGGCATCGGGATTGGATAAATTCGAAATACCCACGTGCAGATTGAAGACCATGTTCTTTTTGATAAGCGCTTGACACTTCGGACCAATTACGATTGAGTTCTCACGGAATTCCAGACCCATGGCAAATCCAAAGCTTTTAGTTAGATTCTCAACCATATTCGGCTTTTCCTTTTTTACATAGGCAAGTGTCTTATCGTATACCTCACAGAGCTTAGCGTCGGGGATAAGTAGTTTGAGTATCTCCTCTTGTACATTTACCAGAAACGTGTAATTCTCCTGCATCGCCTCTGTGGGGTTAACCAAAAACGTGCGCGAAATATTGGAGCAATAGGATTTGTAGCGCGCGCCCAGCGAGCACACAATCACTCCAAAATGCAAATGATTTTTATCAGCAGCTGCCGAAAATTTTAAGCTATAAGCGCCACCAGATTGAATAATTGGAGGATACGCCATGTCAAGCAGTCGTGGATCTAAGCCGCTTGTGTATTTTTTGTCAGCTATAGCTGCTTCGCAGCCGTCCGCCAGCTTTGTGTGCTTAACTTTCTGCAAATAATAAATATGAATTATATACTGTTGGTTGAAATTTGGTAGAGCTAAAATATACCCTATCCGAATCGATGATGTCCATTATTTCATCTTTAAGATACTTGTTGAATATTTCCATGGAAACCAGCGATGCTTTACGTATATTGTTGATCTCCGACTCGTCTTTGGGGCACATTAAGTAAGCAATTATAGTACTAATGTCGACATGCTCAAACTTGGCAGCAGTCAAAAACTTCTTCCAGGATTCGCTGAATTCTCCAGGAAAAGCATCCTTAGTGAAAACACCCAAACGTTTGCCCTTCTTCGACTTCTGCATGGCTGTAATTAGTTTTTCAAAGTTGGCCTGATCCTTGTCGTTCTATTGAGAAAAATTTTAATAAGAATTCTAGATAGTAAAAGGCTTACATGCAAGACTTACACGATCCCGCACGAGTAGCTTGATCTCGGGTACACCTTCTTCACTGATATTTTGTGCCTGCTTAAGGAACTCAATTTTCTTTTTGCTTGTCAGAAAGTATATAGCGTCTGATGCAAAAACTGAAATTGTGTCGGTTAGCTCATAGCCAAGCAGCCAAAGCTGCAATGCCATGGACTTTGAATAGATTACATCCTCATCGACACCAACTACGCTCATGATGCAGTCTAAATTGCTGAGCACATTGTCGTGTCCAGCGCTGGGCGTCTGTTGAATAAATTTGAAAATTTTGTATTATAAAGAAGATAAAAATCATGCGTTCTAACCTAAATTGTTTTGTTTTCTTTTTTGCCAGATATGACAAACAATTTCGCAATATTTTGAAGCCCTATTTTATTATGGCGTCATTTCGTTACTTATCGGGCACCGCAATCCCCGTGGACACGAAAATCTTAATAAACATTTAAGAAGTGTGTGCCCGGCAGGCAGAGAAACAGAGAGTGAGATTCCTTACCTTCCATTCTGTATATAGCCGTTTAATTCGACGAACAAATGATTCTTTATCTATGACAAAGCTCGACATTTTGTTAGTCAAAACTTAATGCGTTGATAATATGTTAGCCGTCTTACTTAAGAATTAAACACATTTATAGCGTAAATTCCGCCAGACAAACGATTTGCAAAAAAAAAATGCGCGGCGGCCAACGCGTGGACATTCACGTGTTAACGAAAAGCACAACATATTATCGAATATCTTATTGATATCGATAAGAGCAGTGCTGTGTAATACACGTTGAATTTATAACAATTCTATTGGCTCTTACATATATAGATATTATTATAAGATAAATAGCTGAGTATTTAAGCTTTTAACACAGCGTTCTAATTGACTATTAAGTGTTAATTTTAATAGGCCCATGATAATTTACATTATTGTTTTAATTGTCTCAGCTCTAATTAAAGGCGTTAATTATAATCAGCTGTTTTTATGAGCTTTTTAGAAAAATGGGAGAGTTTCTTTCAGAAAATAATGCGTGCGGGCAAAATTTACTTAATATTGTCTCTGTGGGCAACTCCATAATTGCAGAAATACTGCGACTTAAAGATTATGTTCCTAGCATTTATCGGTAAGCTTAGGTAGAAGACAATTTTGAGTTTAATTAATTTGTTTGCACATCGTAGATTGGACAACGCAGCTGATAAACAAAAATATGCGGATATTATATTAGACTTTAGCTACTTCAAGGTAGCTGAGGCACAGGAAAAAAAGATTGAGGGTAGTCCGGTAAGTGTATGTACAATATCACCAACATAACATTTAATCTATATCGTTTATAGGAGCTCAGCGACTTGGACTTGGAAACTCGCACAAATTACCTTCAGCTAATAACACGTTTCTACCTGGCCTTTCAGAGTGTACATCATTATGCTACAGATTTGCATCAGTATATTGAAGAGCTAAATAGTGGTTATTATATACAACAAACGATGGAGACGGTGCTGCAGGATGAGGAGGGTAAACAGTTATTGGTGAGTGAAATTCAATAATAAAAGAGTTGGTCCTTAAATTAAGTCCTGGTTTGCAGTGCGAATCGCTGTACTTGTACGGCGTCATTTTGCTCGTCTTGGATTTACTCATTCCTGGCGATGTGCGAGAACGTCTTTTGATTGCCTATTATCGATATAGTGGCGGTGATGGCACACCCAGTGGTGATGATAGCAACATTCATGATGTTTGTCTACTGTTACGCTCCACAGGTTTCGTACAGCCGGCACACAACCAAGCGATGCTGCCAGTGAACAAAGTAGTGTCTGTGCCAAGCTATCCAGAGTCTTACTTTGCGCGTTTTCACTTCGATACTAATTTTATAGATTTGGTTTTGGTTCGCTTGCGCTGCGACGACATTTACAATCAGCTGGCCATTTATCCACATCCATCGCATCGCACCACAGCGTTGTCAACTCAGGCTGTGATGCTCTACGTGTGCCTTTACTTCGCGCCTCAAGTGCTGCACACACAAAGTGCTCAAATGCGTGAGATTGTGGACAAGTTCTTCAACGATAACTGGACGCTTTCCATATATATGGGTATCACCGTAAACTTAATTGATGCCTGGTCATGCTTCAAGGCCGCTAACACTGCTTTGGCGAATGTGGTCACACGTAGTTCTCTTGAACCGCTCTGCCAACAGAAGCGCGAACAGATGAATAAAACGCTTAAAAAAGTCGGCGAGATTGTACGTGAAGGTGTCTTGGATGATGTCTTCGTGCTGGAACATGCCAATCAGATAATTGTGTTGATGCGACAAGCTAATGTGCTGTTACGTTGGTATTGCCTTCACACACGACCCGCCGTACTTATTATCTTTAACCAGGCGACATTAGAGCAACTAAATAAAAAATTACTTGCTGCACTCGAATTTGATCCTGACATGCTCTACCACCTTTTGTTAGGTTGCGGAGAATTAGAGCTGAATGTCAGGGAGCTGTTGGCTGAGCTTCAAAACAATCGCGAGCAACGCTGGACGCACAATCGGGATGCAGCAATTCAATATCTAAAAGAATTAAGTGAAGCGTTTGGGGGATCACGATCATTGACTAAAATAGAAGCAAATCCTCATCTACAGCAATGGTTTGGTCAGATAGCCCATCGTCTACAAAGACTGGAGATCGGCAAACCCCAAAAATCCGGACGACTCATCATACAAGCAATGCAGGCATTGGACGAAGTCCAGGAATATCACAATTTACATGCAAATATGCTTGTCAAGCAGCAGTTGGTAGAAACTCGCGATCTACTAAATCACATGGCACAGGTAGTATTATTAGGTATTATAAGCCTTAGATATAATTTAATAATTTGTGCATATATTCTATAGTTAATCAACCTAAAGGAGGATATTGAGATCAACATTCAGATAATTAGTGATTTCAGCTACGCTTGGTGCTTACTGCAGCGAGATTTCACTGTGATCATGCAGAATCATATTAAGGCCTTGCCACGCGCTGTCATTAGCATACGAGCTGTGTTTTTGAAGCTGGCCAGCACGCTGGAGGTGCCCCTGATGCGAATCAACCAAGCCAAAAGCGAGGATCTGATCTCTGTCTCTAACTATTACAGTACAGAGCTAGCGAACTTTTTGCGACGTGTGCTTCAGATTGTACCGGAGACAATGTTTAGCATTCTGGCAAGAATTATACAGCTGTTGACCAATTCTATTAAAGAGTTTCCGACACGTCTAAGTAAGGATAAGATACGCGAATATGCGCAGTTCGAAGATCGTGCAAAGGTGGCGCAGCTCACCAATTCCATTGCAGTATTTACCAAAGGTATACTAATGATGAAAACGACTTTGGTGGGCGTCATTGAGTTAGATCCCAAACAGCTGCTTGAAGATGGTATACGTAAGGAGCTTGTCAACCACTTGGCCAACGCCTACAATTTAGGCCTTATATTTACGCCTGAGAAGAACAAAGCGTCTGTGCAGTTGCTCCAGGAAAAGCTGCAAGCGCTGGCTAAGACAATCGAGGGTTATCGCCGCTCCTTTGAGTATATCGAAGACTATTTGCGTGTGCAGGGCCTGCGAATATTGTTAGAAGAATCGCAGCGCATTATTAATTACAATGTGGAAAAGGAATGCAATTGCTTTGTGCGAAACAAAGTGCAGGAATGGCAATCCCTCTTCCAGTCCCAAACGATACCAATACCGAACTTTAAGCCATTACAGGGAGATACCACCAAATCGAACAATTTCATTGGGCGTCTCGCAAACGAAATATTACGTTGCACGGAACCAAAGCAAACAATTTACTTAGATTTAAAGTGCACGTGGTATGAGAAACGTGCACCGCATCAACAGCTGCTACCTGGTTCCGGATTTTTCAGCGTGTTACGCGAGGCTATGGCACCGGCAGGGATGGTGGGCCTGGAGAGGCTCTATGCGCACATGCTGGCAGATGAGTTGAAGCGTAATATGGGCAGACTGCAAAAGAATTTAAATACGGATCAAATGTGGTGTGATGCGCTGAGGAGCTTGACCAAGGAGCTAGAATCCCGTGACTTTCCCGGTGAAGTGGCCAAACAACCGTTTAAATATTATCAAAGCTATACCCAACGTTGGCAAAAGGTGTGGCCCACAATCCTTGACTGGATACTTTCTATAGGACATAAGCAACTGCTGCGCCAGCATATTGCCGGCGAGCTAAGTTTTAGCAGCAAGTGTGATGCAAAGTTGCTGGAGAATACGACAGATACGCTGAATCGGTAAATTGGGTGGACAAATCTGAACTTGAAGAGTTTACTTAATCTTTCCTAATTTACAGGGCCTTGTTGCTGGAACTGTCGTGTAATATGAAATTGTACGATGAGCAGGGCATGAGCATGCTCACGGAGCTGCAAGAAATACTTCAGTATACGGGCAATTATGATCCGCTGGAGCAGATCATTATGACCCCCAAAAATTCACACAATATGTCCTTATTTATGTTCCTATTTACTATTGCGCATGTGGGTCGCTTGCAGCATTCTGCAAATACGGACTGTTTACTTCCAAAGTCTGCTAAAGATGTCATCGATTGTGTGCCCTTAATTCTGGGTGTACTAACAGTTCTTCAACAGTTTCATAAGAATGTTAAAACGCTGTACATCTCCTACTTGTGCCAGTATGTTGTAACTGTGGCTGAAGCACAACTACTGTAAGTATTAACAGTTTGAGATTTTGATGAATATTAATTATGTAATAGCTATTGTTTTTATAGAGATAAGGAGGTGTTGGGTGCAGACGTTATTACTATGCTGCATTTCCTGCAAACGTTCGTACGTATGGCTGGTTTACCGCTTAGTGTCTTGGAACAGCGTGTACCTAATATGCTTTTAAGCGAGTTTGATTATTTATCAACCCCTATAAAGTAAAATTCAGCTCTAAGACACCTATTGAATTTGATAAGTGCAGTTTCTTTGTGTGTGTTAAAAATAACCAAAAACGACACTTAAATAAATTGTAGCACACTTTTATGCGTAAATCGCTGGTGTCAGTTCTAAATCATCACGGATAGTAGCAATATATAATTCAATTCGATTTATATTGAAAATAATGACATGCATATATATTTCAAAAATAGAAGAGAGAGAGAGAGAGAAAAAAAAAAACGATACAGTAACATTATTTTATTTCGAATTCACAATATCAGTAAATAAAATCGTAAGTTAAACCGATTTAACTTTTCCAAATTCAAATGGAATAGGAATTCAATTAATTATATTATTTGTGGGTAAAATTGGTAGAGTTCCATTCAATTATTAAATTATAATTCACAATTTCAATTTTTCAAACTTTGGTTGAAGCTACTATCATTTTAATATGACAAATACCGAAATAGGCGGCTTGCAACACCTAAATGGCAATTGATTCTGAACTTTTCTCGCTTATGTGATGACAGTGGGTGCGTTCCGCCCAGTAAATTTTGGCAGCTGTGAGATTTCTAATGCAATATCTATTAGCGGTCTCAGCATAACGCTCGCCTGGCCCAGCACATTCTGTTTCTCATAAGAGTCGATGTACAATCTATAGGTAACAGGGATTAATTCAATAGTAAAAAACAAATATATCTTAAATACATACCGTACGGTAGCTCCTGAGCTGCCTGTGCCACTAAGGCGCATCACAATGCGGCTGCCATCGTCGAACACAATACGTAATCCCTGCTTGGTGGCCAAGGATTTGTCTACGGGATCTGTGTAGCTGAAATTGTCTGCTTCCTTGACTTTATAGGTCTTGCCCCCGCTGGAAAAGCTCTTGCCGACAAATTCTGCGTCTGTGATGGTTTTCTCCATATTGGCCATCATCTCGTTGCAGGGTTCCAAATCGCATTCTTCATAATCGTAGCGCGTGAAGTAGTTGCGTCCATAGACGGACCAATGCTGCTTAAGAATGTCCTCAATGCTCTTGCCAGTGTGTTGCATAACGGAAATCCAAGCGAGCACCGCCCAAATACCATCTTTCTCTCGTATGTGATTGGAGCCTGTGCCGAAACTCTCTTCTCCACACAGACAGAGACGTCCTGCATCCATAAGATTACCAAAATACTTCCAGCCGGTGGGTACCTCGTATACCTCTTTTCCCAGCTTTTTGCCTACTAGATCGACAGCTGAGGCAGTGGGCATACTGCGTGCAAAGCCTTGTACTCCATTCTTTTGAAAATACGGTATTGCCTCGAGGTAGTGCGCTATAACCGCCAAAGAATCGCTGGGTGTTACAAAGAAAGCTTTCCTGCCAATTATCATGTTGCGATCGCCGTCGCCATCAAAAGCAGCGCCAATATCATAATCACCCTTGGCCACAGTCTCCACCAAATTCTTAGCGTAAGTTAAGTTTGGATCTGGATGAAGTCCACCAAAGTCGGGCAGTGGAATGGTGTGAACCACAGAAGCCTCCGTAGCACCCAAACGGTTCAGAAATATTTCACGCACATAGGCACCGGTGACACCATTCATGGAGTCGATGCGCATCTTTAGGGGCTTTCCACTCGATTTGCCGCTGACAAAATCGTGCAACTTGCCGAAGTCAAAGATCTCCTCCATGTGGCGTACATAGTTAGCCACAGAGTCAATGACTTCTACCACAAAAGGCTTGCCGCCAATGTCGTAGTTGCTGACGCCCACCTTGGAGATGTCAAACTGCAAGCTTGGCACCAGTGTGTAAGCCTTTATAGTAGTCGAAAGTTGGTAAATCTTATTGGTGAAGGCATCGGGCGCAGGTCCTCCATTCTCACAGTTAAACTTTATTCCGAAATCATTTTCTGGACCGCCAGGATTGTGGGACGCAGTCAATACAATACCACCTGGAACAATCAATTAATTATTAGACTTATAAATATTACTAAATTCCACAAACAAACAAAAAATAAATAAAAAATGTATAAACATTTGTTCAATCGAATCAAGTTTTGTTTTTTTTTTTTTATTAAAAATATTTTGGTGACAATGACTCGATGACCTTGAAAACCGATCAATGACTGAAGGCGACAATTATTATTATATTATTCATATACACACACATATATAAAATATATATTATATATTTATATTAGTATGTCACTGAGAAAATACCTATCTTTATCAGATGTTATTCTAATGTAGATTACAAGTTATCTGTAAATCTTGATTAAGTAACAGCACTTACCCAGCGCTTTGTTGTGGCGTATTAAGCTGGAGACGGCAGGCGTCGAGAGTATCCCATTCTGACCCACTAGCAGCTTGGCCACTCTATTGCCTGCACAGATGCGAACAATGAGCTCAGCTGCCTCCTTGCAGTAGTAACGTCCATCGCCTCCTATAACCAACGTTGATCCCACCAGAGCTGTGCCATTAGCTTCCAGAATGCATTGTACAAAATTTTCCGTGTAATTGGGCTGCGTGAATACTTTCACCTACAAAGCATACATTATAAAAATTGAAACTGTAAATATTCATTTCTAATAACTTTTTTGCGCAGTCCGCTAGTGCCTGGCTTTTGGCCTTCATATGGTGCAGTTTGCTTCGTTTCAACGTTTAGAGACATGCTTAGGTTGAGTTTTCCAGCTGCTGGTTAAATTCTGACTGCGGGCGAGTTAGTGGCGGCAGCGCTAACAATCTTTTTTGTGTGGTGAAAAAACGAGCTCTGCTGCTGGTTCTGTGTCGACGCACTGATAAATAGACGACTCGGCTGTAGTCATACTACTATGCGCTTTTATGCAGAATTCGTGCGATTTGGAACGTAATGTTGATTCATATTTTGTGTGCTGATCATTTTGCTGGGTAATTGAGCGACATAATTTCTAAAGTATAATCCTATGTGTTATGTTGAAATCAATTTTAAGAATTTTACAAATGGCTGGATATGAGAACTTTTAAGCTGATCCCTTACATGTAGGGTGACAATGTCATTCAAGGGCAACCACAGGTGCCGGCACTATGATCCACCCCCACCGCCTTGTGTGTCCTAAAAGTTGGTTTTTTCTTTGTATATATATAGGGCATATTGAAAGTATTAAATAAAAGTTTAAGTATTACAAAATTAATTGTAAATAATAGATAATCAACACGTAAACATAATTTCGTTTGTTATTGTTTTGGAGCCAAACAGCTGGGCTGTGGCACTGTTGACTGCCGACGTGATATCGTTATCGATGCCTGTAGTATCGATGCGAAGTGTATTCGTACGAAGTTTGACAGCCGACACTTTACACGTCACGAAGCAGCCACGAGAAAGTAGCGGTCTTTATTATTAGGCTGAATTTAGTTTAACACACATACCTGCAGCATTAAATAACTACATTTAGTGTAAGTTGACAAGAAATAAATATAATATTATAGTATTCTAGTGGCTGGCAAATACTTGCTATCATTGTGTTAATAAACCAAATAATTACACAAGCGACGCCGCTTTCATCGAACCTTCCACGTCAACAAAAAGTGAAACGTTCCGAAATATTGTATATTATAGCATGTTCAAAAAAACGATAACATTTTGCGCCTTGCTTGCTGTACTCGGCGTTTGTGTCTCCGAGGATGAGACACGTGCTCGGCTGCTGGTCTCAAAGCAGATCCTTAACAAATATCTCGTCGAGAAGAGCGATCTGTTAGTACGGTACACAATTTTTAATGTGGGCAATGGGGCTGCTACAAATGTCCAATTAGTGGACAACGGCTTCCATCCCGATGCCTTTGAGGTGGTCGGGGGCCAACCATCAGCTAATGTGGAACGCATTGCACCGCAAACAAATTTTACTCATGTCCTGGTAGTGCGTCCCAAGGCTTTTGGCTATTTCAACTTCACAGCAGCGGAGGTTTCCTACAAGCCCATTGAGGAGGCTGAGACGGTAATATTTCTGTATATAGATTCTCTCACTACTTACCTAACACAATTTCACTTGCAGCTCCAATTGGCAATTAGCTCAGAACCTGGAGAGGGTGGTATTGTAAATCTGAATGAGTACAACAAACGCTTCTCTTCCCATTTCTTTGATTGGGTGGCCTTTGCCATTATGACGCTGCCTTCTTTGGCCATTCCACTCATCTTGTGGCACTCTTCCAAAACTAAATATGAGCGCCATGGAAAGAACAAAAAGCATTAAGCATCAACCAAGAGATTAATTCACTAGAGTTCCGTTTGCTATTGTCGCTTCAATTAAAAATCGTTCCATACCTCGTACATTCAACCACACACACGTAGATTATTTTAAAAATTGTAAAGCGTTAAATCGTTTTAGATTTGATATGAAATGAAGATTCTAGAAATCCACTAAAGGTTTAAATTTGTTTTGTGTCAGACTGCTTTCCTAAATAAAATTGAACGAAAAGAGTTACGAATGTATATTATGCATTATTAATGCAATATTTGTGTCGAAGTATGTCCCATGCTTTGGCATTTTTTTCTCATTTAACTTTTTTAACAATAAAATTCTGTGAGCCAAACTTTTTTGTGTTATAGAATGGATTGTGTTAATTAAATTTTTATTACTAATGCTATTAATTCAATTTAAACAATTATTATATTACGATAACAAATACTTGCGACCAAAGATATCCGATTTCTTATCAAACATCAGAGATTTAATGGGCGTGTTGATTTTATAGAAGGCGTTCATCGAATGCTTTATATACGTATCGTACATTTCATTAAAGAAGTTTTTGATGCCCTCATCGTTTTTATTGTCGTGCACAATGATGAAGCGTATCTGCGACGCTGTAATAAAAGCGGACACAAACCATTGATTAAAACGATCTATGCTTTTCAATTGCATATTGGCTGTTTTCCATTTGTGCTCATCTACCAAATCTAATGCAGCATGAGCTATAAACTGGTTAAGATGCCTGTGATCCTCCTTCTGCAATACAATTAGTGTGGAATAAGACGCTCTTGAACATTATTGACTTAATGTATTTACGCGCTGCTCTTTGTTAATTGTGCTAAACTCTTTTTCGAATATGGGATTGTCATTGTGCCCAACTATAACAAAATAGTATGTGGACATTGTGAATATTAAATTTAACAAACAGATTCGTAGATACTATTAAAATGTCTTTACTTTTTTAAAATTCTGGCTACGCTGATCTCCCAGCGTTGCCACCTCTGTGGCAGGAATACTGAAATAAGTATGTATACATCTTTTAGCATGTACATTTTATTCTTATACTTAAATAAATACTGCGGACTAAAAAATTTCGATATAACAAATTTAGCTATAAAAATATTTAAAATATCAATTTGCGTCATCCAACTGACTAGTAATTGTTGGTATTTTTTCGCTGGCAATGTACGAGCACACAAAAGTGCAACAACAATTCTTGCTTTTCTCACGTATACAAATACAAAACGTCAACAGCTGACTGGCAAAAAACGTAATTTTTACTTATAAATCAAGTCTATTAGTAAATAATAAGCAGACGTATGATCGTATGCTGCGTATGTGTGTGGCAGCCGTAATGTGGTGCACTGAGCTCCTCTAGAGCTTACATAATGGCAGCGACATTGCGTCTTAGTGGTGAAATGGTCAAAATCATCCTCCATTCCAACTTGCAGGCGCAGGCCATACAAAATGTTGGATTGATCCGAAGGCATCTGAATAGCGAGCTTACAACGGCCTTACGCCCATTTTATTTTGCTGTTCACCCGGATTTATTTGGCCAGCATCCTGACCAGAGGCAGACCAACGAGAATTCATTAAAGCTGCTCAGCGCTCATCTGGAGGCGCTGTACCAGCAGAGCTATCGCAATGATGAAGCCGAAGTTTTAAAATTCTATGTGAGGGAGAGTGCGGCTACTGAAAAGCGTGATATGTTTAAGCTGGTTCAGATACGCATGGATCGCAGCACACGTGACCCCAAAAAATTTATAGAAGATCTGCTTGAGTCCTGCAATCTATCAACGGATTACATAAAGAGCGTCAAATCCATGCCGCCAGCAAAACCACAGCAGAGCTTGGCGAACAGACCCAGCTACGATTATTACTACAGCACGGACTTTTCTGCTTTTGAAACACAGTTTCGTAATGTAAATATCTATATTAGCGGCTTTATAAAAGCTAATGCTCTTATTTTATAGGAAGCAACCAGCGCACGTCCAGTCCTCTCCATTTGGATGGAGGAAAATGCTGCCAAGGCAAGACAAAGGGCTAAAGAAACATCTGCAATGGAAGCGGAAATCGATAAACTTAAAAACGTGCTAGTCAGAGACTTGCAACTGCGCGATGCTCGCTATGAATGTGGCTGGAATATAGAGCATTACCGGGGCTGTCTCAAATCGTTGCAACGCCTCACTCAAACCCATGGAACAGTTCTGGAGACATTGCGAAATCGTGTTGTAGTCTTTGCTCCGTTTACAGGCATCAGCTTAGAGGGTCATGTAATGCTGTTCACTGGTGATGTGCAAAACAATTGGATTGACTTTATTAAAAACATTCCGCAACATGATGCCTATTTAAATGTAGTACCAGTCTATGAGCAGACTCTCTCCCAGGTTCTGCGCAATATACAGATTGGACGACGTAAATTTATGCCAAAGCAACAGGCACGTGGATATGCCAACCACCTTATGAAAGTCACGACGTCCCTCAACGATTATTTAAGCAAACAATTGTATCCGAAAAATTGGCCGCAAACGTTGAAAGAATTTACAATTGTTGTCGAATCTGAAGCGGGTCCATTAATGGTTAGTCCGACGGGTCAGTTCATCACTCCCGCCACATGCCCCGGGACCATACTCGTAGATTTTATAAGTCAAAATATGAAGCTTGCACGTGAACGCATGGCCAAATACGAAACGGATAAACACATCGAGCAACAGCTCATTGAGGAGTCGATCACACGACTGAAATTACAATCATTAACTAAGGACGATGCCGTAACTCCAGATAAGATGATAACTGCGTTACGTGATCTACGTCTGTGCCAGCCTCAGCATTTCGTGCACATCAAGCTACATATTTCCCATTACTATTCGGTGTTAACCGATGGTATTGTCTGTATACCATGGGATTTCATGCAAAAGTAGTGAGTATCGTTAGGTTAAAAATTCTTGTGCCTTTCGATCAACGACAATAATCATAATAATAAATTAGCTTGATCATAAACCTAAAGCGTTAGTTAGTTGTTTGTGAATTTGCTTAGAAATGCGTTATTCATGTTTTTGCTATGCCTATTGAGTGTAGGGCATTAAGACATATCTGAACCTTAGTCTTAATATATATATATACATATATCGTCGAACTATTCCATATAAAGTATATCTTTTAGTAAAAATGGTTAAATATAAGTGCTTTGATGTATGTAATTATATTTCTGTATAATTTCGGTGACTATTTTGTCACATCGCTGCAATCTTCGACCTTCCAGATGCATTCCCTGCGATAGTTTTCAAGTTCCAGGCTGCTACGTGTATAAACATGTCGCTCTTCGCCGTCCCAATGCTTAGGATCACCTCCACAAAGTATTGAACCAGCTGTGGCTGCATCATAGAGGGCTACACCACCACCTGCGAGCTGCACCACTTGCCACCAAAAAATAGAATCGCGACTGTAAACGTTCTTCGTAATATAGTCTCCAGTAGAGTGGTTGCTTGGCTCCATTAGGATATAACGATTGCGCCAATAGGAACTATAGAACGCAAACTGCAGTGTATTATTTGCACCTCCATTTCCTCGCTGCACATAATAAGATGCCTTTTTCGGATCCCGTTCATTGGTGCAGATCAAATAGGTCTGCGGGCACTCGTAGATGTAGGAATTGTGATTTGTCATATTGCGGAGGCAAATCTTCTGTGCAGTGTAGAGGATTTTCTCATCTAAGGGCAATTGCTCATACACCTCTTCACGCAAGTTTCGACCAACTTCCTGTTCAAAAGTTGGCAGCTCCAGCAACTGACGAAGATTATCATGTACTGCTGCTTGTGCATCCACATTCGATTTCAGCTCCGTGCGCTGCAGCAGCTGAAGATTGGCTAATGCCAATTGCGTGACGCTGCCAGTAAAGTTACCAAGACGTTGCACTACACTGAGAGACGACTCAAGCGCCAATACCAGATTAAATACTTCTTCCAATATATCGCGTAAGTAATCCAGGGTGCTTAGGGTAAGTCGCTGAAGCAAGGAGTCGACTTTTGGAAATCTTGCGCTGCGGCTGTCCGTGTGAAAGGGAGCTGCCAGTAAATGAGCGCTGCGGTCAACAAACTCCTGGTAGACCTGCACCAGTAACGCTGAAGGCATCTGCGGCTGTTGTGTAAGCTGGCCATACAGATCCAGTACCTTGAGAGGATCATAGATTTGCCTCATCTGCTGCAATTCTTGCCACAGGGCTTCGTAAATGGCTTGCTTTAGCTGCACCGTGCGTGTTTGACTGGCTAGTTGTAACACAAAATGTCCGCGCTCCCAATCCCCATTAATTTCAGCGCGAATAATGTCCTTCAAGCTCATTGGCGGCGTAATCTCCGTGGTCGCTGGACTCCTTTTGCCTTCCAGCACATTGATTTGCAGTACCAAATCTACCGTAGAAGATGATGCATTGAGCACAGCCAGCAGTCTATGATTACTGTTGTTGGCATATCCATATCCTCCTCTGAAAGCTAGCCCCAGGAGGAATACCAGGTAAACTGCTGTTGACATTGTTAACTGCCGCTCAAATTGGCAGCGCATGGCTTCTTATACCGAACAAATTGGAGCGGTTTTCACCTGTAATTTAGTCGAATATTTGCATTGGAATTTCTTGGTAAGTGGGATACTGATAAAACAAATAAATAGGCGGCATTTAATTGTTTGTAATGCAATATCTATTATTTCCAACTACTATAAATCTTATTCCAATTTAAAAAGTAAATAGAGAGCGCCAGCTGGCGTCACAAATTGTGCACTAAGATCTACGGCTAAAATAAGCAGACACATTCTACAACAGGTGGCGGTATAAATTATCGATAACTATCACTTTCGGTATTCGTAATTCAAATGTTAATGGCTAGAATTTTTTATTAGGCCAAAGGCAATGCAGTTACTTAGAATTAATATCACAAAAACATACTTAGTTTAATTGGACTATGAAAAATACTTTAAAAATACATGTTGAATGTTCAAAGTTTGGTGGAGTTACGCGATTGAATCGAACGCCGTAAAATGCTCGAGCGCAGCTCACCGCGTGTAGATGCAGTTAGCGAGGCGCCTGTTTGAGTGCCACGCACAAAGGCCGGCGAACGCACCTCCTCCACATCAGTATTGCATTTATCCTCATCGTCTAGCTGCTTGGCTAAACAGGGAAAATCCCAAATGCTCTGACCACGTCCAAACTCCTCGCCATCGCTCAGTGTCTGTGGCAATTGGTGATGCAATGTCTCCGGCAGCAGCAGCGCCAGCAAGCCACCCGCTATGCCCAAGAGACCCAATATGATAAGCGGCAGTGCAGGCGATATGTTGGCTAAATATACAACAAACGGTGCTATAATGCTGGCCACATAGCCCATGATGTGTATAAAGGCAACGCCCTGAGCACGCACCACAGTGGGTAATATCTCAGCTGCATACTGCAGTCCAATATTATAACTAATGTTCACAAAGAAACGACCCATTATAGCCAACGTGGCGGAATATACGCCTACCGGTGCTAGTGTAGCCAGAAGACTGAAGATGCCACTGGCAACCATCGAGCCACAAGCTAACCAACGTCGTCCGAAGCGATCTAGTGTAACAGTAAGTAAAGTATCTGCAGGTAGCTCGGTAAAACTGGCCACAGTAAAGGTGAAGAAGATGTCCAGACCAAGAGAGCCGACATTACGTACATGACCATCAAAGACCAACGATATAGCCATCCAGATGACAATAAGCAGCAAAGTGGTACGTCGCAGGCGTGGAGATTTGAAGAGATCCAGTACAGAGTAACTAGCATTCTGTTCCTGCTCCTGGTCCCGCATCCGCTGGCAGCTGTCCTTAAAGTTCTGATACGTTTGTTTCGAAACCTGACGACCATTGCGACGTTCCAGCTGACGCAGTATAGAAATGGCTTTGTCTACCTCGCCTTGGGAGACAAGCCAACGCGCCGATTCGGGCACAATGAGAGGCGTAAACACCACCAACAACAAAGGAACTGAGGTAATGATGGTCAACAGCTTCCAATTGGCGACAAAATATGCAATCCAGGGCAGTAAACAGGCGGCGCCTGTAAAGAATATGGCAATGGACATATTGGCAACAAAAGTACGGTATTTGGGGCCCACATACTCGAGCACTGCGAAAAGAAAAGCAAAAATCATATTGAAAATATATATATATATATATATATATATATATATATATATATATATATCGAGCAGAGAGACAAACTTTTACTTACCTAGTATGTACATCATGGTAAAGCAATTATCGAATGCAAATCCCACAAAGAAACGCATTGTGGCAAATTGCCAAAAGTTTTTAACAAATGCAGTTGCGACGCCCGCAAGTAACCCCATCAGATTACAACAAATAAGAGCTGGAATACGGCCAAACCGATCCGCTATCCAGCCAAAGAGCAAGCCCCCGACAATGGCACCCAGAAAGAAAATGGATTGCGCATAGGTGGGTAACGCAGAATCATCGCAGACCCAATTCTGTTCAGTAGCCACCGTGGAGTAGGGTATTTCCGTAAAATTATATGACCAGCCATTGCGACATTTGACACGTGGCCAGTTCGGATCAGCCATAATTTTGCCCTGGGCCATGAGTTCCGTATAGTTGACATCGTACATATAACAATTGTTGTACTCCCCATTCACCATGGGAATCGACAGGGCCAATCTGTGAATAAAGTGTGAATAAAAGGTGTTGCAATTGGGTTAGTTAAGTTTCGAGTAACGAACGTCGACGGTCATGAACCCCCCAGGGTCAGCGACGCATTGTCTATTTGACAGCTGAGAGCTGAGAGCTTGGATAGCATAATTATTTTGTGATCTTGACAAAATTGTTTGACGATTCAATCATGTAAATACATATGTACATACATATGTCTAAAATTATAGTCAGGTAAGATTGATGACTTGGCGAGGTAGAGCTAGGCGAGGATTGTGAGAGGTTTTAAATGCCTTATGACGGCACAGTATTTGAATTATTAATCTTACTTTATTCTCTCTCTACTCTTGAGTATTATCTATAAATTCGTATTAATCTTTAAATATAACAAGAAAGTTGCAGTCAGGCGCTACCGACTGCGGAATACTCATTCACATCCCATCAGCAAGAATAGTAGCTAAGTTTTGCTCTAATACTGTTAAGAATTCAGTTTTCTCGATTTGCTACGCGCCTACTTGGGCGTAGGCACTTCATTTTTGGCCAGTTCATAGAACAAGCTAACGGTAGCCTAACAGCAAAATTTGGATGCTTACGCTCAAAAAATGAGAAAATTACAGGGTATTTTTCGATATGCCACGCCCCTCAAGAGGCGTAAGCATTACTTTTTAAGCATCGATTGAGTAACTTAACAATCCAAATTTGAAGCTTCTAGCTCTCATACCTTGGAGATATAAACTTTTGCGGTTTACCACGCTCCTGTAGGCGGACATATGTATATCCGCCACAGCTGTTTCGCCTTAAGAGGTCAGTCCGAGTATATATACCAAGTTTCAAGCCTCTAGCACGCAAATAAATTGCGTTCATACGGACAGACGGACGGTTGTATCTCACACTCTAATTAACAAACATTTTGACAGTTTATTTATTTATATGATCAACAATTCACTTAACATCGTCTTTATATTTCATGCAAATACTTTGGCTGTGGGGCACAGTAGAATTGAACGCTTGAGCTCAATTTCAGTAAGAAACTATACAAAATATATCTCTAATTTAGGCTCCTGTGGGTCTTAAATATTTATACTTTTATATAATATACTTATATTTGTATTTTGAGCATTTTCATACTTCTTATTCATATTAGTATAAAACTGGTTATAAGACACAATCGCATAATTAACCATTATTCATAGCCGTAAGTACTACTACGATTTTCTTTTGCTACTGTTGGTTAGGTTTTAAAATTTGGAATAATTGTGACGCTAGTGATATATTGATAACGATGAAATATACGATTAGTTATAGAGGGATAGAGGAAAGGAGAAACAGAAAAGTATAAAGAGAGAGGTAGAGAGAGAAATTGTAGTACAACTAGTGATATATTCAAATATAAATTAAGAATCATATAGCAAGAATCATAAAGTTTTAAATATCATGCCGACATAGTATCTGGCCATGTAGATTGTATTAAATATGTACATAAATATATGTTTTTCTTTATTTCCTGTTTTTCCTCGCAGGCGCCAATATATAATCTAGTTTATACCCATTTTGAGGGTATTCGAGTTTCGGTGTTGGCGTTAGCGTTTCTCTCATTGGAAAATTTGTAGCTCGTGTTTGGTATCGACACACAACATTAGTTAGTTAGTTGCTCATATTCATTTGCTGTTGTCGTTGTTACCACGATTATTTCACTTGTGCGTCAACTGCGCTGCAACTGCGCAGTCGCAACATGCGCTGCTAATTATGGCCTGGCTTACCTGGCTGGCTAGCTAGCTGGTTGACTGGCTGCTTATCTAACTGCCTCTGCCACTGTTTGAATTTGCCTCAGCTTTGAGCAATGCTCCCCTGATACTCTGCCTCATAAGATTTTTTGTAGCTGTGTTGATTTAAAACTAAAATTTAAAAAACTTACAATCGTTTTGCAAGGTTAGACGTCATTCTAAGCCGCAGTAATTAGACTTTGATCAGAACACTCGAATTTATTTCGTTTTCGTGTTTAATTTGAAATTTGCTTAGATCGATCATTATTAGGCGCTCCAAGCAAGTTATTGTGAGTTGGTTAATATAAAAACAGCGCTTAAATATATAACAGAAATTAAATTAAGTTCTAATTACTTCATTCTGATACCGCCCTGTCGCAGTCAAGGTTTTGTCAATCAAATGGTTTTTAAAGGCATTGAGCGATTTTGTAAAAGTTTTGCTAAGCAGTAATAATAAAAAAAGATAAAAAAAACATAATAAATAAATAAATTACTTCCGGATGATTGAAAAATTATCATAGGGCCCGCAGAGTCTCAAATATAATAGATATTTTCGACAACATTTCCAGCATTCGATTTAAATTTTGAACATGCAAAAACTTGAAAACAAGTCCAAATATAAAACCATTTTGTCTTAGCAAGTTATAAGCATATTACCAAGGTCATAGTTTTTGAGATTCTTGAAAACAGTTATAAGAGAGAGCACATATTAAAAACGTTCAAATTTATTGAAGTTTCTTAAATAATGAAGCCACCAACATGACAATAAGCCTTACATAAAACTGACAACATCAGCATAAAATTACACGAAGTATTAAAATAATACGCTTTGAATTGAGAGTGCAAAAACAACATTCTAAACTACAAGTGCATGGTCTAGTAGCAGTTTTTAAATGTCTTTAGCTAACCAGTTAGCCAGCTTGCCAAGAGAAACTGGCCGCAGCCAGATGTATTTGGCCCGAAATGATTCACAGTTCTCAGAGTACTCAAAGTTTTTATAATCGCGAAGCTCACCTTGCCTCCACATCGAGTGCATCCAACTCAGGTACATGGCACCAGTGCTGCTCCGGTATGAGTGTCATAAAGATTTGTGAGAAATACACAAAGGCCACGAAGAACGAGAAGGGAATCATGCACACGAATAAAATCTTCTGATATCTTCCAAATTCTCCAATCAATGGCAGGAGATCATCGAAATCCATGGCGGGGGTTGCAATTGCTGGCTGCTCTTTGTTTTTTTTATCCGATAAATCCAATTGGAGCTCCTTGTTACCACCGCTGCGACGCCGCGGTTGATTATCTGCTGCGATTGCTCCACCGCCTCCACCGGCTCCATATGGTGGCTCTTCGTGATTATATGCTTCATTGATGAAGTATACTTGTTTCGCTTGACCTTCCATGTTCGCTGAGCTTCGCCGTTAACTGTGTCACTTGTGCTTGTGGCTTGTGAATTGTAAGCTCTACGTATTCGCTACGATAAAAAATTCACGGAAAAAGGCGCAATCCGTTAAAAAAATATATAGCTAACGACACGAACTCGAGAGCGCACGCGCGCGTTTCCGTTAATGTTCTGCAACTGAACTGAGCACGCGCACCGGATGGCGTTTTTATATATCAGCCACGATTCGAGCCGAACAACGTTAGCTTCGTTGGCCTCACCTGTCGTCAAGAATAACAGCCAAGAGAATTGGCAATGCCCCGGTAGCGAAAGCTGAACAGCTGTTCTCGCCGTCCAGCTGCGAAACCGGTCTTATAAAGCCTAAGCATTATATGATCTTGATCAGCTGGTTGCCATTACTTTGATAATACATATATACTATATATAGATATCGACATATTTATAACGAAACGCTCCCCCAGCTGGGTCTGAATCATCCATAAACAATGCCACCAAGTATTCTCAATTAACATAAGCGAAGACCAACAAACTCTAAAGCGTCATAGTGTCCATTCATATTTAAGATTGGGGGATTAACCCCCAATCACCGCAGCTGCCATAGTCTGACTGACTCACATGCAGCGTCCACTCAAAATACCGCCAAAAACCACCTACTTGATATTCATATACATATGTTGTTTTTATTTATTATATTTACATATGTATAAGTAAACTGATTTTGCGCCTGCCCCCAAGTCTCAGTATTGTTTAGTTCGAAGCTTGTATAATTAGTGATAGCTTCCAACTGTATTTTCTGCACTAATTATGTGACTCCCTCCAAGCCTGTTATCCCAAACGAATGAGCGCAGTATAGGTGAAACCAAGCTCGAAGTTGGCAGAAACTCATTCTACCGAATATTTAATGCACCTAGGGTATCTAAAATTCATGCATGTGTAGGAACACCTATTTGTTTTGTGTTACAAGTGCGAAAGTAGTTAAAAGCACAGCATAAACACTAGTTAAATCAAGTTTTAGTTTTCTTTTAACTTTATTTTTACAAAAAAATGTCGGTTTTCTTTTTCGTTTTATTTATTTATTTTTTTATGTTTTAATTCACGTGCTATACTCGCGCATTAAGTGTTTAATTGGCACCGTTTGCGTAAAACCTCAAGGACAATAACTTTTAGCTTGTGCTGCGATCGCGTTCTCAAATGTGTTCATAGCCACACGCACTTGAATAGATTCGAGCTTAAACTTGAGATCTAAATGGCGAAACGAGATACAAAATATGATACTAATTTGCAATGGTGGCTATTTGCTTTTGCTTTAAATGCCATTTGATATTGGTAAATTTTAAATATTGAAATATAATTTGCTTGAATTGGGCTGGTTTTGGTTTGTAGGACGATACAGGGTCAGTAATAGTAAGCAGGAAACTCAATTAAATATGTATATATATGTGCAACTCTGCTCCTCTATTCTGTATTCTATATTTCTAATATTTGGACAAAAAACTAATATTGTTGATGCACATATTTGTATATACATATATATATAGGCTGTGCAACTCTGCTCCTCTATTCTATATTTCTAATATTTGGACAAAAAACTAATATTGTTGATGCACATATTTGGGTATTTAGTAATCAGCACTAATCATGTTTCTAAATTGTTTTATACATCCCTTTATCTTTTTTACAGAGCATTCAAAAGTCACATTAAATTCATTAAGGTGTGTCAGGGTATTTAGATTAATTTAACCTTCAATTAAACAAATGAATATTATTTAAATCAAAATCAAAATCAGTTTCCGTGTTAATTCTTTGCTATGCCTAGAAAATTGATACTATTATTATTTTTATGAGTGTTTATAATACTTATAATTTCATAAGCTACGCGACAAAAACCTAAACCTCTTTATTAAATGCTAATTTTGTTGAGGTGTAAGGAAGTACATGCTAAAATATATGAATGCCTCTATCGACTATCGACTGTCTGTGTCTCTTTAAATTTCCATAGGTAGGTGTTAATTAGTAGAGTATTTGAAATGGAATAATTAGATATCATATGTTATCTGGGCAAAGTCTGAGAATAATTTGGTTTGTGAATGGAGATAAATAAATTACTTTTGTTTCAATTTTGTATTCTAATTTGCTACACTCGATTTAGACATATTAATGGAATCACAAATTTCTGACTGATATTAATTTTGATTCGGCTCTAATTAGTTGTGCGTCATTTATTAATTTTTATTTTATTTACTTAAGTAATTCGGCCAAAAAAAGATAGACAAAAAACAAGTAAGAAAGCTCTAGTCGAGACTGCTCGACTACGAGATCCCCTGAAC